GTATAGAAATATTCACGAGCAGATATACTTAAGCAGAAATACAAGGTCCACAGACAGACAAATTAACAATTTGACAAGACCAGAAAAGTTCCTTTGGATGTCCGTAGCAGGTTCACAATGTTGGTATCCAAACGGAGGAGAACCACAGGCCAATAAATGCTCTGAACACGAAAGAAAGTGCAAACCCGCCAACATCTGAAGGAAAAAATACTACTGTAAATGCACAATGTTAGCAGGAATCACTTTTTACCACCAATGTTAAATGGATAAAAAAAATCAAATCAAAAAGCAGATCACTTTCAGACTCCATTCTCCCAACGCAGGAACCAGCCACTCATCAGAGCTGAAGCATCCAATAACAGGCACATGAATAATTAGATAATATGAGAGTATTTTCAAGTAACTACAGCACTGGACTGCTACCAATTAGGTAGGCCTGTCCACAACCAAGGGGATTTCTTTTTGTTGCTGTTATTCCTTCATTTTTAATCTGAGTAATAGCTTTTTTTTTCTTAACTGTCACGTATGCATGCTATGACATCCGATCTGTCTTGCTTTGGCATCTAAACAGTCAAAACAGGTGCCTCGGCGGCCTTTGCTTTCATATAGTGCAGGTCTGAGTGAGAAGTGGACAGCATGAGGGCGCAATCCGGGACAATTTATGAAATCTCTTGAAAAGTCTTGACTTAACTTTCCCACAGTCATGCTCCTCTCTAGTGATGGAGCAAAGGGAAGATAAGAGGAGAAGGACGAGAATGAAAGCTAGAATATAAGAAAATAACGGGGACTAATATTATTAATTAAGTTATTGTTATTTTTAAATAAAAATGTGTTAATCACAGACTTTATAGCGGCTATTGTTTAATACAACATATACACTAATACTGCAACCAGACTAAGCAGGGTGGTTCATATGGTAAAGAAACACAATTAAATGTATTTATCTGAATGTATGTTTTCCAGCCTCTCCTTTGACCATAAAATGTATCCAATAATATCCATATGTGCATGCAATCACAAACGTTGCATTAACATCAGTGTTACCAAGGCCTCAGACAAGAGAGTACTTTCATATGCTGTTATTTTCTATGCAGATGTCACTTAGGGTGCCGGCATCACAGGTGTGTATACGGACAGGATCAATAAGTTCATCAAGAAGACAGGAGTCAATTGTTGGCCTGAGTCCAGACTAGCTGGAAACCAGCCCAGAGCAGAGAACCAAAAGGAGGCTTAGGAGGGATCTGTCTCCTGACCAACTTCCAGTACTTCCATAAAGACCATAAGGAGCAAAAAGCTCCTTTCCTCCACATAAAGGTTCAGCAGACTTTTGTTCCTGCAGCCATTAGGCGTTTTAATTAACAATTTAGATACAATGTGCTCCCCACCATTTATTAATTCAATGCACGCAGCAACTTTTTGCACAGATGGTAGTTGATGGTGGATGATGATAATTGGGACTCAAAAGATGGAATTACCAGGAGGCTATAGCGTGCAGTGCAGGGCAGCTACGATAAGCATAGATTTCACTTAGGACTCCAGGACTCAACTGCCAGTGCAGTGGAAAGGCCATTAGAGGAAAACAGCACCTCATCAGAGATTTAATCAACGTTAAGGCAATTGACTCGTGGTACCTGTTACAACCTGTTGTGTTTTTGTTTATCTTGGAGTCATGCTCTTGCCCTCTAAGACCAGTTGGGTAGTTGGTAATAAAAGGTAATCTAAAGATTAAACATTTTGCATTCCTCTCCTGATTGAGAAAATTTGTCAGTTCACAGATCATTGCATTCAAATTTCAGCCTCTTCAGACTGAATGCCAGCTAGAGATAAGGTCAGTCAGCTTCAAGGTCAGTGTTGTGAATGAAACATGTATCAGTAAAAATTACTCCTGAAAATAAACAGCTTGGAGTGCATCTCAAACCAGTAGCAGATGTGAAGAATGCTAGATGTGTCAGAGGAGATACAATGGAAAGCAAATCTTCCACCGATAACACAGGCAGCCGGCCAAACCATAGTTGCAGACTTTGCAAATGCGACAATGAGGAAGTAAGGCACATTGTTTGAGGGTTTATGATGTGAGCATGCACAATGTATACGGAACGGCATGAACATTGCAGAACAAAGGTTTCAGCAATACCACGGTTCCAAAAACTGAGCTTAAGTTTACCAACGAAGGACAAACATTGGATTGTGCACTAGCATGAATAGTCTGTCATGACGTAATGCACAAGAAGGAAGGTTTAATGTTGCAATTGATGATTCATGCTGAAAATAGGGAAGAGGTTTGATCATAAAAACTATCAGGCGCTGTTTATCACAGCACCGCCTGCTGAAAGCCATTGGCCAGATAATCTGTCTGTGAATGAATTAACTGCTGGAGGTAAACTTGATAAACTGTCTAGCTGTCTGAATCCATGCTTGTACTGTTTTCTCAAGTTGTTGTAATCAAATAACCACCTGGCTGAGTAAAGATGTCGTAGTAACAACTATATAATCCGATTCACCCACTTAAGCGATGACGGCAAACAGACGAGCGAGTTTGTCATTTTGAATCAGATCATACGACGGTCCAAACCTCAATAATCTCAACGGTAGGGAGGCTGAGAATGATGGAGCTGACATCCTGGAGTCGCACAACCGTCAACAAAATAGTTTTCCAGGCAGTCGTCTCAAACGTGTGGGATGAACATGATGAGGACACCCAGAATGCATTGTTCTACATTGTATTTTGTACAATATTAATTATCACACTGTTATACTTCTGACAGCAAACTACTATATCTGAATGATTAAAGAGGTGGAATGCAAAAAGAGAGACAACAAGAGAGGCAGACTATTTGTGTCAGTTTCTCCCTCTCTGGCTGGTGATGAATGACACCATTAAGAGTTTTTATCTTCAACCAATCATAGAAATTTAGTTTTAGTGGTTACATATGAGGACTGACAAATGACAACTATGTTCCAAAAAGGACTGAGGAACTTATGGAACTAACCAGGCTTGGCTTAGTCTAAATCAAAGACCAACTCAACAAGGTAATTTCCATGCTAGGATAATTTTTTTCTGGTAATCACTGGAAGTCTTCTTAACTTTGTTTCCCAACACAATTCTCCTGATTCCACTTCCCTCAAGTCATCAGGCAAAACAGCTACATCTAACACAAGCTAGGTGTGATGACTAGAGAGCTTCTAAATGTTATTAATGGCCATTCAAGAAAAAAGGTCATTTTGGACTTTGGAACTCAATCCACCACATGAAGCTGCGCTCTTTCCTTCTTCCCCAGTGAAAAGGAAAAGTTTGGCCTGCCGTGATCTTTGCATGGCGCTTCATTCTGCTGATCCAGGCCCCAAACACAGCAGGAGGTGTGTAATCTAACTTCAATCTGACTCTTCTGGTGTAATCTCCAGCTCACTCAGAGTACACACAAGTCACTCTTGACTGCTCCATAAAAGATTCATGCTGTCAGCGTCTGGCCATCTGTCAGCTGCCTCTGTGTTTGCCCATCGGGCTTCCACCAGGCTCCCTCTCTGTTTTTCTTTCTGTCTGTCACTAAGTCACGCTGCATGTGCTCGTCAGTATATCGGACTGAATATGACTCCTTAAAAGAGGTAAGAGACCGATAAGGGCACCTTGTCAATGGGATTACTAGGATGTAAAAGCATGTGTGCATGTTTTTGTTACCAGTCTTTTCAGCGGTGTAAGAGCATTTAAAAGTGTGCTTGCGTGTCTCAATTATATTTTGAGTGTGCATGTGTGTGTGCGTCTCTGTGTGCGTGCGCGCATGTGTTTCGACTCAACCGAGAGCTGTTTTGGTTTACACACAGTGATTCTCTTGCACCTTTGGGGAATTCTCTGCTTCCTTTTCCCCCCCAAAAGAGGGGTGAGTATACTTATTGACACGGGGGCAAATTAGTAATAATTTGAAGCGTTGTTTCATGTAAAAGCCACATGGCCTCTTAAGTCACATGGGAGAAAAAGAGCATATGGATGTGTTAAATTGAAATGTTCTTTAGTTCATTCAACAGCCAATAAAGGGAATGAATGTTTCTTCCTCTCTGCATTTTCATTCTATTTTAGGGAATTGCTTTCGGTTTAAGATAATTTAAACCTGTGAATTAACGGAAAATGTAATGGTAATGTTGTGCTTAGCAGAGAATGAATTATTCATTTCAAACACAACAATAACAATTAATCAAGAGGTATTGTTGTTGAAGTGCCCAAATAATACCTCAAACATGAGCTTTTGCTGACTCAATATTAATTAGAATAGCAGAGCATGAAAAATGATTTAATACCTGGACATTTGCCTTACTGCAAACCGCCTTCTGCAGCAAATAAATACAGGACATTACGGCCACAGTGATTTTGAATAGACCATAATGTATGTTGAAGAATAACGTGAGGAAAGGATCAATGCCACAGTCTAATGCTTTTTTCCTGAGGCTGCAATACGATACAAGACAGATGCTACATCTTAAGGGATTCTCTTATTCTGTCTTGGCAGAAAGCTGCAACAGAGAGATGGAAAGTTGCACCGTTCATAACTTGATTCTCTCCTCTGTATATGCATTAGGTCCTTACAATGCCTCTTACAGCCTTCTTTATCCTTGATGCTCTCCCTGTGCCCTCCCTCCCCCACCCTCACCCTAAGTGGCCAGCTGTCAAAGTCAGCTGAAGCCCAGTTAATGAAGAGGTGGATTTATTAGCCAAGCATCAGTGTAATAGGCGGGGAAGAGTGGAACCCCCAAAAGACGGAGAGCAAACACAGCCACCAAGCCGTGCATACCAAAACAAAGAAAGTGAGGCAAAAAAGAAGAAGAAAAAAGATGGGTAAGACAGGGTAAAAAAAAATATGAACCGAAATGGTTGGAAAAGAAGCTAAAATCGAAAAAGCAGACAGAAGAGAGGTAGAAAGCACCCAGTCAAGAGAGGAAGGGGGAGAGGCAGCTTCCATCTCTCTCTCTCTCTCATCCTCTCAGGCAGTGGCTACGGAGCGAGCTCTTACCGTCTGTTGAAGGTCTGGGATTCCAATGCGGATGACCACGGTGTTGCCGGTCGGCTCTTCCATGGGTGCCCTTCCTCTGTGGCTCTGCTCTGCACCGGGACAGAAAGCCGGAACGCCGACAGAAAAGGGAACGCCGCCGTCCTCTTCCTGGGAGCTGCCGCTGTCAGTGCTAGCCCCCTGGCTGCCGTTTGATGTGTGTGTGTAAGGCAGTGCGAGTGAGTGTGTATGTGTGTGATGCTGATGCTGCTGCTGGTCCTGCCGTGGAGGGCTGGGTGGCTCATGTTTGCCGGCTGCCGGACGCAGAGGCATGCTCCGTGTTAGGGGCTCGGTCTATGTTTCTCTCTCCAGACGCACAAATTCACTCATACACACACACACACGCACGCACACAAACAAACACACGCACACACACTCCCGATGGCTTCCGATTACACTACACGCACACACGGGTTGCTGCGTGCATCCCTCGTCTGGAAGAGAAAAGAGGGAGGGAGAGAAAGGCAGGGAAGGAGGGTGGGGGAACGGGCCGGGGTGTTGGAGATGAAGGGGGGAAAACACAGAGAGAAGATAAGTACCAGGGAAAACTTTGAATTGAAGAAACGACATTCGCAAAATGGTGACTTAACACTGATCTGTGATTTGCATAAATGATAATCCTAATGAATCAAATAAGAAACACATTTAGTCTTTAAATGGAATAAAATAGATACAATACAAAAGGGTTAGAGTTGGAGGATTACTCAACATTTGCACGAAATAATATATTCATCATTAACTTCATGTGTATTTAAGTAGTGTTTTACAGCACCTTTATTACACAATCAACATACACACAAACATTTTCATTGTGGTTTGATGCATTTGTTAATATGCTGAGTCGATGTACTACTGTACAGCGGCCCTGGTGTGACACGGTTGCGGTCACACGCTGTCGCTCTTGCTGTAGTGCACACTGTGGTGACGTCGAGACATAATGGGGGATTGTTCATGCGGATCAATGTTGGGAAGGATTTGGCCTTCGGGGTTCTCTTCATCTACCCATGAGGGCTGTCACTGATTAAATAGTTCCCATTTAAACAAAGTGACACGTTGTCATAGACAGAGCAAGCTGCCATGCATGTTTTTAGGTGTTCGTTGGAGTTCTTACGTTTCTCATTCACACTGTTTGCAGACCATGTGAGGCACTGAGATCGGGACTGTGAAGTAAGGGCTAAACAACGTACCTTAACGTTGGTCCGCGCAGTGTAAAACAGGCATCCAAAGGCATTGCATTTGTCAAATAAGGGCTGAATAAGGGCTTGAGCATTGCCAGTTTCAAAGCAAACCATTTCAATAATTGATATTGTCAAGGAAAGCAAAAATGCATTTTATCTTGTCTGTGACATATTAGTTATCTTAAGTAAGTGCTGTGCTCTGTTCTGTTTTCAGATACATCACTGTGCAAGTTGACCCAACAAGCTAGAGACAGCTTTTCCCTGTTGAATGGAATTCAAAGCATGTACTTCAGTGACCACAAAAATGCACATATATATGGGGACACATGCACATAAACACAAAAGAGACTTTCAGAGAAATACAGGCTGCAAGAATATTTACATGGATTCATCAGATGTCAACATGAAGAATGAGTTTACTTTGTAAACTTCAAAAATAAATGTACTGAAGTTTCTGGCGGGAGCAAGATTCAAGACCATCGATAAGCTCTACGAAGCATAAGACATCAGGATGGTAAAGGTTGGTTCAGAGAGGAGGTGGAAGCCGGTCACATAGAGACCATAGCTTTTCTGTCTATATGCTCTGGTTTACAAATTTCACTGTGTTTGAGAATCCAACGTGCTGCATGAGTAACACCCGGACTGGGGCTTTAGGTCACATGTTGTTTTCTGTTGTGTTTCTGTCACTCACCTTTCCCTCTCGTTTCAGACACCTCCTCCCTGTGTGTCACCGCCCTGTGATTGCAAGCCCCACCCTTATTGTTTTCACCTGTGTCTCGTTCTGATGTGTATTTACTTTGTGCCAACAGCCTGCTCTTTGCCAGTGTAGCAGTATGGAAATAGGATTGTCCTGCTACAGTTAACTGCACCTGCCAACCACTAGGGCGGCAGTAGTATATAAAGGCTGCCCCCCTTCTCGCGCCCCACTGATGCATCATTTCCGGGTCAGGTGTCTGTCTGCGCAGAGTAGCGACAGAGTGCTCCGTGCTCCTTTTTGCTCTTGGGTCCTCTCAACCGGTGGTAAGTGTTCTCCCTCTCCGTGTTAGACCGAACAATATTCTGTAGCTAACGTTATTGTGGTCACAGGTAGATGTCTTCCTGCCGTGTGGGTCTTTCTCTCCCTCCCTCTCCCTGTGCAGGTTTGACCTGGGAAACAGGTACATGACTTTAAAACTAGCTCACAAAAAGCTTTGACATGTAGCTTGGCAATGCTAACTTTATGTTCATTGACAGGGAATGCTCATCAGCTGGCTGAAATCCGTCCAATCAGTTGATTGGGGCCACTGCTGCTTTGCCTGCAACTTTGCCTGCTGCTTTGGCTGCTTTGACTGCTGCTTGGTCTTCTGCTACATGTAACCTTGTCGGTAACTGTCTGCACTGTTAAATGCTGTTAACTGCACAGTTTGGTCTCCGCCGCGACGTACCTAGCATGTCTATTGCCGGCACCAGACTTGGACCTGTGTAGTTCTTTGATTCTAGCTGACTGAGTAGTTAATCCTTTAGTTTGTATTTCTTTTGGTTTGTTTCCCTTATTTTCTTTTGGTTTGGGTTACGTGAATTGTTTGATTAGGACGATTTTTATGTGAATTATTTTCTTCTGTTTTGTGTTGTACACTTTTGGTTTAGTTTTCTTGTAACCTTCTTTTTTTGGTTATCCTTCCTAGCGGCTGTAGGCTGATGGTGGTGTGGGTGGTGGTGGTCTTCCTCATGTGTCGTGTCCCATTGGATGTTTGTGCTATCACTGGGTGAACTCTGGTTTGTTTTCTCTAAGTTTGTTTTATTAATTTTCCTTCCCCTTCACCGGCGCTTCTCACCATTAGGCCTTAGCGATTATTTTTCTTTTCTTGTTTTGTGATGAATGTTAGATTTTATAATAATGTATATTTATTGAATAAAAATGCTTTTGTAAACTGGGAACCACGAGCCGTTGCCTACTGAGTGGAACGAACCTGTGTGCTTTAAAAGGTCTTGGGCCTATCCCAAGTGGCGTTGTCGGCAGGATAAGAAACCATTATGCCACACCAGTTTGTCTCTTTGTTCCCAATGAGCTTACCAGCGATTCCCCTGAGTGTGCCTTCCCGTGTTTTGACCCTTTTCCATCCCTCCGTCAACCTTTGCCTGCCGATTTGGATGGATCCACCTTCTCTGTCTGACTACCTGTGTACCGAACCCCTGCCTGAAGTAAAGACTATTTTTGCCTCTGACTACTACGCCTTGAGTCTGCTTTTGAGTCTAAACCCTTGTGGCCCCAGCGGCGTAACAGCATGTTTCAATTTAAAGTCACATATTTAGATAAACCCCTTAGTTAGCCCTTAGAAAAACATTCAGTTCTACTGCGTGTGAGGAAGAGCCAATCAAGAATCTTTGCTGTTTTGCTTAAATTTCATTGAATACAAATATGGAGGAGAAGTTGATAATCGTATTGCAGGGCTCCTGTATGCAGAGCTTTGTACAGAAAAATTACTGTAGTGTTTGTGTTCGATGACAATAATAGTTAAATCTGCAGGTGAAACCTGCAAGAAACTTTCCATTGGTGCAACTCATTGTTAATTTCTTCAAGCACAAGGATGTATATGTATGCAAGTATGCTGGACAGTCTACAGTGAAAAATCCCATTAGCGTTGGAGAAAGAGCATGGCAGGTAGTCGTAATACATTAGAGGATTTAGCAAATCACTCAGCCTGTATCGTCTACAGCCAGCCACGTCTTTGGGGCAGAGGAAATTGATAACTCTCACCTCGACCTTGTAGGGTGGCTCAATATTCATTCTCTATATGGAAATGCTGCCCTCACAGCACGTTAGGGCTGACTGGAGGGATTCATTACATATAAACACAACATATTAAGATATCTATAGTTTTAAATTGTGCATTTGTCCATATTATTTACAGGTTTTCTTTTCTTTCTTTTTTTTTTCAAAAGGCTGATGTCGGAGTACATGAACGGCATGACAAACAATACCAGATCGCACAATTAGAAGGAATAATGTGGCAAAGGGACCTAAAATGGCTTGCCAACAAGGAAGAATCATTCCCCTAGGTAGCAAGGCCGAGGCCGGGGAGGGATTTCATCCTACTTGCATCATACAACGATTACTGTGTCGGAATCAGAATCAGAAATCTACATATCTAGTTATCTTAACAAATGATATGTTACACAAATTTAGAGACTCGCCTGGAAATGGGGCAACCTTTCTCTTTCACCCGATCCCATCTCTTGCACTCTGGTCCGGGGAAAACAAAGTGAATAATTCATAGACCATACAGAGCAGTATGTGTGCACGTGTCGGAAACATCAGCCGGAGCTTGAACTGTTTTTTCCACAGGGCTCTACCTGAGGGCATTGCCAAACACAACTGAACCCCACGGCCGGCCATGAAGCGAGCCCATAGATGCATCCCTGTCGGACGCCCATGATGAGAAAAAAAAAAAAGGATCCTAGAGCGGAGGTTAGAGGGGCAGAAAGATAAAGAAAGGCAAGTCAACTGAGGTAGCGTGAAGCAGAGAGGTTCGGGGAGGATGTGGCAGTCAACGGGCCAAGCAGATAAATAGAGAAAGGGAGCATGGAAAAAAAGGGCGCGAGGCAGAGTTATGACAAAAAAGGGAAGGTGGGAGAGCCTGCAAGAGGGAGGGAGAGCATTACATACAGTCAGCTTTGACAGCTTTTTAGCCTAGGCATTCTAAATTCATGCATAGTGTGTGATTATTATGTAATCAAAAGAGTGGAATGTAATGGGAAAATGATATGTAACCCTTTTAAATGCTTCATTTGTATAACCAGTTTATTAATTGCAAATGCTTAGATGACAAAGGCCCTGACATAAGAACTGATGTCTCCCACTTGGATTAGATGTTTCCAGCGTCATAGCTGTAGAGATTGAACAAAGTGTTTGTTATGTCTATGACCACCTTTGTTTTAGCATGTTGGGAGAGCAAGGACACGGTCAAAGAACTGACGTGTCTTACATGGATAAGATGTTCCCAGTACCCTGGCTGTAGATACTCAACAAGATGGTCAACGGTTTCTGTTGACGCCACCGATATCTAAACTTAGGTATAAGAACTGCCTCGATGTGTTGGGGGGAGAAGGAGGTTCTTGACAGTCTACTGACCACGTAGCTGTTGTGACCCTCTTTCCCTTGCAAGACAATAAACGGAGAAAAGACATACTTGACTCAGAGCCTTTGTTTTTTACTTAACGATTGTCTGTGCAAAA